TTGTAGTTGTGCAAAGAAGCCCTTTGCAACCATTCGCTCCTCGTCAATCGTAGCCCTCCGAAGCTTTCCTCCAAGCAGGTCGGGCATCCAAAGCGGCTCCCTCTGCATCTCAGGCAGCCCATGCCTTCAAAGGCTCCACGATCAGGCCTTGCCAAGGCCTTCGCTGCCGGCCTCTTGAAAACCTTCTGCTTGGAAGATGGCTTGCCCTTGGCCTGAGGCTTTCCAGACTTGAGCGCCTTTGGATCCTCTGTCTTCGCCTTAGGTCCCTTCTTGTCTTTCCCGACCTTGTTCGTAGAAGCTGCCTTCTTCCCGTCCTCCCTGGCCTGCAGCAGGGCGAGGTTTTCAGCTTCGAACTCCTCCAAAGTCTTCTGCTTCTGTCCGGGCAAGGCTGGACTGGACTGCGGCGCTTTTGCTCCAGAAGGGGGGCTCTCGCTCTGCTCCCCGTTCTTCAAGGGCAAGCAACCCTTGCTCTGCTCGCCTGCAGCCTGCACAGGCTCCTGCTTGCTGCTGCTCGCTGCAGTCGGCTTCGTCAGGAACTGCACTGTCGGCTCGGTGTGGTTGACGATGTTGTTGGCAGCCGTCAAGAACTTCATGAGGCCTTGGACGAATTTGGCTTCGCCATCCGGTACCGGCGGTGGCTGCACAGCAACTGCAGGCTGTACGACTTTGGGCTGGGACTCCTGCCAAAAGAAAATCCAGACAGAGGCCTGACTTCAGGATGCTACCTTCATACCCACAGAACAACTGAAAAGGGCTTAGGGTCAGGAGTATAGGGCTTCATGCCTTGGAAGGCTGGTCTGCTGGCTACATCTGATATCTTCTTAAACCCACATGGTCCTGTAGCAACTTGCCATTGGATCTCACGAAGATGTGATGCTGCATCAAGGTGGCCAGCCCGTTCAGGTCCTTCTTGGCTGGAAGTCCATCTGGATAGGCAGCCTGAAGGTGGGAGGCTGGCAACCGCATAGGATCCACAGGGTACCGGGCAAGAGAAGAAGCTCCAGCTGGGATCGCTGTGTTGGATTGCTTGAGCTCTGTCATCAAATGCAGACTCAGATCGTAAGCCACACGAACTGCCGGCACCGGGTTGCCTCGGTGGTGAACATGGTACCAAACCAGGATGGCGGTACATCGCTTCTTCAAGGATTCTTTCATTCCTTTGATTCCGATCATTTTAAGCCGGAATGCGATGTGGCGACAGCCTTACCACATCCCACAGCTTCCCAAGGCGGCTGCATCCGTCTCCGTCAAGTAAAGCTCGAAGCTGGTGCAGGTTTGCGCCACTGCTGCGAGGTTCGTGGCCCCGTTGCTCTGATGAGCACCAGCAGCGAGAACATCCAAGGTTTCCTGCAATTTCTGCTTCATGGCATTCGGCACCCCAGCTTCCTCCAAAGCTTCGTAGCAGGCCACCATCTCGGACGGGCCTACTTGGCCAATGTTGTTCAGCTTGGACTGCATCTGAGCAAAGAGTGTATCCTGCATCTGCTGTGTGGGCCGAGCTTGGAGGAGCTTCTCGCAGGCCTCCAGCTCAACCACAAAGTCTTTGGCTGTCCAAGACATGGCCTCTGCGGTCGGCACACCCCTCGGAGTCTAACTTCTGGGCCACGACTGCCAAGCATGGCACAGCAACTGTGTTCCGAAAGAAAAAGAGGTGCAAGGACTCACTGGGTAGCCTCTAGAGGCTAAGAAGAGAAGTATATAGGGAAGTTTCCTAGCCTGCAAAGGCTGGGGTGTTTAAAGCCTGTATAGGCCAAGAAGAGCATGAAGCAATGAGCCTCTCAAGGCTGTGCAACTATAGCCTTCAGAAGCTCATTGCATTAAATGCTGCACAACTATAGAAAGCTTGCAGAAGTTGTCTGCAAGCTTTCTATATACGGGCGAGCAATTTTTTTTCATAGAGACGGGCATCGCTGGATCCTACCTAGTCCATGTCGTCCAGCCAAGATCTTCCACCGCCGTCCCGGTCCTCGGCCTCGTCCATGCTGCCGTTGTCCGGCTGCTCCAATTGCCCGTGCTGCTGCTGTTGGCCTTCGTCCTGCTGCCGGTTCTGCTGCTCCTGGATTCGCCTGCACTCAAGCTGACGTACAGGGCATTGAGGCGAATGACCATAGCCTCCCCGGCAGGCACTGCAGCAGTACAAGTGAGTGCCCGTCACCAACAAATCGCAGTCCAGACGGCGGCAGATTCGTACAGCCGTGGGATCCACCTGGCCTCTGTCACATCTTGTGCTGTGCTCGGATCCTCTGCTCCTTCTATAGCCACCGCAGCAAAAGCGATGCGGCGGCTCGCACGTTCTGCCGCAGCCACTCGTAGCACACATCCGCCTCGGGGTCCGTGCACCAGTCTGCATGGCTGCAACCGAGATGAAATCTCTATCACGTCCTTCTATGCAGGCACCTCTCCGGCATGTTTTGTTGTGTCTGCTGGTACTGAAGACCCGAAGTCTTCAAAATCACACACGGCATTTGAATTCATATTTTGAATTCCGGAACAGGGCCTCGGTATTTGAATTCATATTTTGAATTCGCCAACAATCCTGTGTATTTGAATTCAGATTTTGAATTTCCGGAACAGTCCCTGGGTATCTGAATTCAGATTCTGAATTCCCGGACAGATGCTGCTTTAGAGGACATAGGCTGGTCCCCATGCGAAGATTAGCTTTGCCCCGTCTGAAAATGGCTGCGGCGGCCGTGCACCATTCTCTTGAAAAGTCCTTCAATCAGTGACAAGCAGCCGCTATTGGCTCTCCAAGTGCACCCGACAGGGTTTCGGATTGGGGGTGAAGGTCACGGTTGAGGGATCCAAGGCTTGAAAGCTAGTGAGATTTTTGCAAAAGTACAGGGTCTTGGGTTGGGGTTCAGGCTACACATTCGGCCCATTTTGTTCCTCCTTTACTTAAAGGAAGCTAGATTTCTATTAGAAACCTAGTATTTCTTAATTAAAGGAGGACCAAAAACGGCCAAATGCCTGGGAAGCCTCAGCCTGCAAAGGCTCTATTTCGCAGCCTCTACAGGCTCCCCTGCAGCCAACACAGGCTCCTCATATGTATCTCTGCGGAAGCCTCCAAAGGCTGGTGTCCATGCAGCCTCCACAGGCTCCCTACATATGTATCTCTGCGGAAGCCTCCAAAGGCTGGTGTCCATGCAGCCTCCACAGGCTCCCTATGTAGAGGATCCCAAGCCTGCACAGGCTTCCTATGTAGCTGCTACAAAAAAGTTTCCATGCAGCCTGCAAGGGCTCCCTCCACTCAAACTCGGTCTCTTTTTCACTCGCCACTGCTTCAGCATGGTCCATCAAGACAGGTAGTAGCGATAGGCATCGTCTCCCCGCTCTCTCAGCATCCTCTTCAAGTCCCGCATGGGAGCCTGCAGCCCAGGGTGCTCGCTGATGCGGCGGAGGTCCCGCTTCAGAGAGTCCACCTGCCCAGTCTGGAACCTGTGGCAGATCACGGCCATCTTCGTCGCCCATCCAGACCGGTTCTGGTTGCCCTCGACCTGGGCTGGTCGCTGCATATATGTGGATCCCTCAACCCTGCAACCCTCCAAGAAATTAGCCCATCTGCCCATGCGAACGAGAATCTGGCTGCTTCCATCGTTGCCAGCCATATCGCCACCATATGTGCGGGTTGTCGTCGTCCTGGACCCAACCAGCTGCCGTCCATTTGTCCTCCCAGGACTGCTGGTTGTCTGCAGGTTGCTCAGGAACAGAAGACCATCCTTCGTAGGGCGGCTGATCAGGCCGTCCATGCTGTCCCGAGCCCGAGGCCTCGTCATTCACCAAACCAGGAGATGCAGAACCTGAAGGAAGCTGACTTCCGCCGACAGCTGTGCCAGGTAGAAGTACCTGCTGTTGGGGCGGCGGCTGCTGCAGCTGAGGCTCCACACGAAGCTTCTGAGCTTGGTCCTGATGCATGTGGTGCATGTGTTGCTGCTGCTGCTGCTGCCACTGCGTCTGCTCCACAGGAAGCCTCTGAGGTTGCTCCTGCTGCCAGTGCATCTGCTCCACAGGAAGCCTCTGAGGTTGCTCCTGCTGCCAGTGCATCTGCTCTACACGAAGCCTCTGAGCTTGCTCCTGTGGCATTTGCTGCTGCTGCCACTGCATCTGCTCCGCAGGGAGCCTGTCGGCTTGCTCCTGCTGCACTGGCTGCTGCTGCCACTGCTGATGCAGAGGTCCCGTGGGCAGCATCTTGGCCCTGCCTGCTGCTGTCCCTGGCGCTTGCAGTGTTGCAGCTGCAGCAGCTGCACTAGCAGGCTCCCCAGTCGGTGGAGCCACGGCATTGGCAACCGCATGCACCAGGCTTTGTCTCACCTGCCGAATCAGGCATGGGGAGGATGCTGTACAAAGCCTAGGAAGCAACAGCCTGTAAGGGCTCCGAAAGAAACCGACCACGGCCTGCTCGGAGGAGTACTTCATTCGCTTCCATGGCGCCTGCATGCATCCATCATACTCTATGCGAAAAGCAAACCAGCAAATTTATTGCCAGCTTCGAAAGTCATGCTTGTAGTGTCGCAGCATGACGAAACCACCCGGGCCTCGTTGGGGTCTTCATCCACCGCCCCGTCCCGCCAGTCCCGTCCCGCCATGCTTGAGAGGGTGCACCTGCAAGAATATGGGTGTCTTTCCAACCACACATGCATGCATTGCTGTAGCCTGCAAAGGCTCAGTTAAGCTTCTGTACTGTAGCCTTCACAGGCTCCTGCTACTACTCCTGCAGCCTCCACAGGCTCTTTGCTCTTCTCACCCCACATGCATGCATTGCTGTAGCCTGCAAAGGCTCATTTAAACTCCTATACTGTAGCCTTCACAGGCTCCTGCTACTACTCCTGCAGCCTTCACAGGCTCTTGCACGATGCACACACAGCCTTCACAGGCTCCTTGAAACTTCTATAAACACAGCAAGAGCCTTCAAAGGCTGAACTCCGAAGCCTGCACGGGCTGGAAGCTGCCTCTGCACACTCCTTTTCGCACGGCCCGCCAGATTTCATGCAGCCAAGGTCTTCTCAGCCGGAATCGCTCTGCTTGTCGTCCTCATCGGCTTTCCTTTTGCCCGCAAACCTGCCAGATCGGACGTAAGGTCGCTTTGGCTTCTCGTACACCGAGTCCACATCGACCATGAGGAAATCGAAGACATGCTCAAGGTCGGACTCTTCGAGCTTGACCAAGATGTCTGTTTCTCGCCAATTCCTGGGCTTCAAGACCTCCACCTGCTTGCCACCGAGATCTATCTTCATAACATCTGGTGCTCTCTCCAAAGCTTCGCGAAGCTTTCGGGCGGTGACTTCATTGGCCGAATCCTCCTCTTCATTGACAACAGGAGCATCGAACAAATTGTCCCTCTCACTGCCATCCGGATTCTGCTCCTTGCTTCCCATCTCCAGGATCTTGGCCTTCACCGTTTCCCGGATCTGCGACACTTGTGGGCTGCAGCTCAAGCTTGGGTTTTTCAGGGATTTGAACTTCTCCATGTGCCCCAGCACGGCTCTCGTCAGACTCGTGCTGCTCGGCCTGAACCGAAGATATTGCTGGCCATTGTCCGCCGCATGCACCAGGCCCTCGGAAACAGGGACCTTGGGGCCGCCCTTGTACTGCAGAATGACTTGCCGAGTGACCTGCATGCTGCCGAGCCAAACCTTGCAGGCAGAAGAAGCTGCAGAGGCACGAATACAGAAGCCTGTCAGGGCTGAGGCAGGAAGTGTGAGAAGGATGACTTTGGAAGCTTGCACATGAGCTGCTGCAGCGGGTTTGACTTTGGAAGCCTCTGTATACATGACCCGAAGCGAAAAAAATTCTCTCGTCTGCTGGGAATGGTCTGTAAATCTTCGTGGGCGCCAAAAGCGAAGCGAATCTCCTGCACATCCACTGTGCTGGAGATCTGCCGACGGAAAACACGTGTAAAGTAAATCATCTAATGGCGCTTTCTCTTGCCACTGCCAGAAGCCTCCGTCTTCGGCTCCAGGAGCAGCTGGTCGCCCATCTTCAATGCAACCTTGTTCTGGTAAACAGGCACCACCATGTCGCCGATCTTCTTCGTGGTTCTGGTGAGGGTAGCCGTTTGGCTCTCCGTTGCTTCCTTGATCATCCAGTACGGGCAAAAGTAACCGGATGATTTCTGGATGTCCCAGCGAACGGGCGAAACAACGTAGCAGTCATGCTTCATTCCTTTTTTCTGGATGACAACATCCTGGGGGCGAGGCTTCTGCACCTTTTGCAGCTGCCCCAAAGGATAGAGTTGCAGGTCAAACTTGGCATAGGAGCAGTTGCAGAACAGCAAGCCGTTGTTGCTTGGCCGGACGTCTGGATCGCCCAACCTTTCTCATGAGTGAAAGACAAACTACAAAAACAAGGTTACCAGAACCAGGTTCGAAAACATAGGCTTGAAAGAAAAAAGGTCGAAAAAAAACGTGTTATGCCAGAAACTTAAGGCGAAACCTTTCCAGTATCTGTCTGCTGTCAGGAAACTCCAAGTATTTCTTGTAGAGAAGCCCTTGGTCTTCTGCTCGTGCCAGCTCGTCCTGGAAGATCTCGGAATCACCGGGCCAGAGCTTCTGAAGAGCTTCCTCCTCGACCAAAGCAGGCACAGCTTTAGTCCATTCCTTGAGTTGCTTGAGGTCCTGCAAAGCCACCTTCTCGACCTGCACCTGCTCGCCAAAGAAAGGCCGATGCTCCAAGGTAGCACCATCCTGCTGCAAGTCCTTCAAAACAAAGACTTTGTCTTTGTCAGCCTCCACGGGCTCCGTCCTTTTGATCAAGTAAGCCTGGCCAACCTTCACATGCTTGTTCTGCTGCTTTGCGATCAAAGTCTGATCATTCGAGGCCTCTAGGTCTCGGACCTGCTCCCCTGAAGAAGCTGCAGCCTGGGAAGCCTGCCCGGGCTGAACCTGCAAGGTCTCCTGGCTGAACATGCTCGACAACGTGGCCAGGGAGTCGTACTCCTTGGCCTCCCTGCCCTTCGTCTGCTTGCCGAGCATGTAGAGGATGATGCGTATTTGATAGCGGCAGAAAGCCATCTGAAGATGTGCCTTGTCGGAAGCTTCGGCTTCGACCACTGCCCATGCTTGTTGCATCAGCGCTTCTGCTTTCACCAAATCCGCTTCGCTTTTCTTGGACTTCAAACGATCGAAGTCCGCCTTCGTCAGAAGGCGGCTGAACCCGTCGATGACTGCATTGGTGCAGTGATCTGGGTCAAGGCCAAAGCAATGCGAGTCATCGGACATCTCGTGGTAGCGATTTTGAAGTCGGTGTATGCGAGGCATT